TAGTCAAGGTTTAGTCAAGAAAACAGACACCACCCGAGACTTTTCAAACCAAATAAAGAGGAACGTTAATAAGGAAATTGGTTACACAGGAAATGGAAAAGCTGAGAAGCCAAACACAGGATGGGGTGATGAGGCAACTGAGAGGTCGGCAGCAGCCAAAAGCAACTGCCACGCTGGAACTAAAGGGTCAACGGGAGAAGTCAGTTTCATCAGAGCACAGAAGCTGAGGCCAAACAAAAAGAGCCAGAACTAAGGAGAGGGTATTTCCCCCATGGGAGCTGGAACCACAGAGCGAGTGTTTGTTTGGGAGGAATTGGAGACACACAAGAAAAGCTGTCACAGAAAACAGAGAAATAGGGGGCGATATCATAGCCTTTCCTCTCCTCCCACCCTCCAGTCATCTGCTATCATCTTTCTGTGGTCAAACTTACCCAGAAGACTTCAGGCAAAGGAAATGATGGGAGGTGGGGTGGGATGGGAGTAAGCACAGGCAGCTGGCCAACAATTGTCTAAGAGTAGCCCCTGAATTGACTGGCCACACATCACCTATGGCATAGTCTTGCCAAAAATGTTTAAGCTGAATCTAATCATGAGGAAATAATCAGGCAAATCCATATGGAAAGACATTGTACAAAACAACCAGCCTAGACTCTCCAAAACGTCAACGTCCTAAAAGACAAAAGAGGACAGAGAACTTATCTAAATTAAAGAACATAAGGGAGGCTCATGCCTGTAATCCCAACACTTTGGGAGGCAGAGGCGGGAGGATCACTTGAGCCCAGGAGTTCGAGACCAGCCTGGGCAACATAGTGAGACCCCATCTCTACATACAAAAAAGAATCAAAAAATAAGGCGGGAGGATCACTTGAACCCAGGAGGTCAAGGCTGCAATGAGCCATGATCAAGCCACTGCATTTCTACCTGGGAAAGGGAGGGAGATCCTCCTGTCTTTCAGAAAAACAAAACATTATGGAGACATGGCAACTAATTTTGATGTGTGATCATAGATTAAATATTGGATCAAAAAAGAATGGCATATAAAGGGCATTATGGGGCAATTGTGGAAATATGAATATAGTTAGTACACTAGATAGTTGTATATACATGTTAAATTTCTTATATATATATAAGCATGGAGAAAGAATGTGTGATCAAACAAATGTGGCCAATGTTAAAATTGGTGAATCTAAGTGAAGCATCAATAGGCATTCATGGTACTGTTCTTGCAACTATCCCAAAGGTTTTTTTTTGTTTGTTTGTTTGTTTTTTTGAGACAGAGTCTCACTCTGTTGCCCAGGCTGGAGTGCAGTGGCACAATCTCGGCTCACTGCAACCTCCGCCCCCCGGGTTTAAGGGATTCTCCCGTCTCAGCCTCCTGAGTAGCTGGGATTCCAGGCGCCTGCCACCACACCCAGCTAATTTTTATATTTTTAGTAGAGACGGGGTTTTACCATCTTGGCCAGGCTGGTTTGAACTCCTCACCTCGTGATCCACCCACTTCGGCCTCCCAAAGTGTTGGGATTACAGGCATGAGCCACTGTGCCCGGCCCCAAAGGCTTTTCAAAATAAAAACACAGGAAAAAAAAAAAATAGGATGGCCTTTGACCTCTGACCACTGACACAAGGTAAGGAGATGAATTCACCAAACTGTTCTTAGGAATTTAAACCTAAACACAGAAAAAGAATTTGCTACTTAGCAATAAAATTGGAGGTGACAGAAAAACATGTAGAGTTCAGCTATAGCAAACTAAAATTATGTACACACCAAAATTATGAGATGGAAAAAAAGATACGGCAAGTTGTTTACAGAAATAGCTGCCACAAATGCTCCTCATCTAGTAAGCACTTCTCCCATCATGAGGTGAAATCTATGTCTCCCTGCGTTCTAGACTGGCCTTGTGACTTACTTGGACCAACAGAATGCAGAGGTGACATGGTGCCAGTTCTTGACCACCAAGAGGCTTGACATCTTGCATTCTCCTTCTCTTGGAGCCCTGAGCCACTGTATAAAGAAGACTAACTGCCCAGGAAACAACAGATGCTGGAGAGGATGTGGAGAAATAGGAACACTCTTACACTGTTGGTGGGAGTGTAAATTAGTTAAATCATTGTGGAAGACAGTGTGGCGATTCCTTAAGGATCTAGAACCAGAAATACCATTTGACCCAGCAATTCCTTTACTGGGTATATACCCAAATGATTATACATCATTCTACTATAAAGACACATGCACACGTATGTTTATTGTGGCACTATTCACAATAGTAATGACTTGGAACCAACTCAAATGTCCATCAGTGATAGACTGGATAAAGAAAATGTGGCACATATACACCATGGAATACTATGCAGCCATAAAAAAGGATGAGTTCATGTCCTTTGCAGAGACACGAATGAGGCTGGAAACCATCATTCTCAGCAAACTAACACAGGAACAGAAAACCAAACACTGCATGTTCTCACTCATAAGCGGGAGCTGAACAATGAGAACACATGGACACAGGGAGAGGAACATCACACACGGGGCCTGTTGAGGGGTGGGGGGCTAAGGGAGGGATAGCATTAGGAGAAATACCTAATGTAGGTGATGGGTTGATGGGTGCAGCAAACCACCATGGCATGTGTATACCTATGTAACAAAACTGCATGTTCTGCACATGTACCCCACAACTTAAATAAAAGAAGAAGAGGAGGAGGAGGAAGAGGAAGAGGAGGAAGAGGAAGAAGAAGGAGGAGGAGGAAAAGAAGAAGAAGAAGAGGAAGGGGAAGGGGAAGGGGAAGCGGGGGAGGAGGAGGAGGAGGAGGAGACTGACTGCCTGCTGGAGAGACTGGTCTGGCCAGTCCTTTGCTGTTGCAGACACCTGTGCTGAGCCACACATGTGAGTGAAGCCACCCAGACCCTCCAGCCCCAGGCAGGGTGGCCCAGCCAACACCACATGGAGCAGAACCAAGCTGTTCCTGTCAATCCCTTCCCAAAGTTCAGCATTGTACGCCAACAAATAAGTAGTGGTTGTTCTTTTAAGACAATACATTTTGGGGAGATGCGTTATACAGACAATTCCCAACCCACAAGGGTTCAACTTGGTATTTTTCAACTTTAGGAAGGTGCAAAAGCGATACACGTTCAGCAGCAACTGTACCTCAAGTACCCATACAACCGTTCTGTTTCTCACTTTCAGCATCATATTCAATAAATTACATGAGAGAGTCAACACTTTATTATAAAATGGGTTGTGCGTTAGATAATTTGGCCAACTGTAGGCTAATGTAAGTGCTCCGAGTACATTTAAGGTAGGCGAGGCTAAGCTACTTTAGCCTAGGTTAGGTGTATTACATGCATTTTTCACTTAACGATATTTTTGACTTACAATGGGTTTATCAGGACACAGCCCCATCATAAACACAGGAGCGTCTGTATAGCTAATGGGGAACAGAGCAGACAGACACACAGAGATGCCTGCAGGAAATGCTAAGTTTTACTATTCCAGTTCCTTCCTTGCGTAGGCTCAAAACAACTCCTACCCTTTCTGAGTCAAACTGAGCAAGTCTCCGTTGCTTACAGTGAAAAAAGAGCCAGAGAAAAAAATGCCTCTTCCTGGCTGCTCTGCCTATGGAGTAGCCATTCTTTTATTCCTTTACTTTCTTTTTTTTTTTTTTTTTTTTTGAGACGGAGTCTCGCTTTGTCGCCCAGGCTGGAGTGCAGTGGCCGGATCTCAGCTCACTGCAAGCTCCGCCTCCCGGGTTCACGCCATTCTCCTGCCTCAGCCTCCCGAGTAGCTGGGACTACAGGCGCCCGCCACCTCGCCCGGCTAGTTTTTTGTATTTTTAGTAGAGACGGGGTTTCACCATGTTAGCCAGGATGGTCTCGATCTCCTGACCTCGTGATCCGCCCGTCTCGGCCTCCCAAAGTGCTGGGATTACAGGCTTGAGCCACTGCGCCCGGCTCCTTTACTTTCTTAATACACTTGCTTTCACTGGAAAATAATAAAATGTAGGGCGTGGCGCGGTGGCTCACGCCTGTCATCTCAGCACTTTGGGAAGCCAAAGCAGGCGGTTCACGAGGTCAAGAGCTGGAGACCATTCTGGCCAACATGGTGAAACCCCGTCTCTGCTAAAAATACAAAAATTGGCTGGGCGTGGTGTTGCACATCTGTAGTCCCAGCTTCTCGGGAGGCTGAGGCAAGAGAATCGCTTGAACCCGGGAGGCGGAGGTTGCAGTGACCCGAAATTGTGCCACTGCACTCCAGCCTGGTGACAGAGCGAGGCTCCATCTCCAAAATAAATAAAATAGGCCGGGCGCGGTGGCCCATGCCTGTAATCCCAACACTTTGGGAGGTCGAGGCGGGCGGATCACGAGGTCAAGAGACGGAGACCATTCTGGCTAACATGGTGAAACTCCGTCTCTACTAAAAATACAAAAAGTAGCTGGGCCTGGTGGCGCGCGCCTGTAATCCTAGCTACTCAGGAGGCCGAGGCAGGAGAATTGCCTGAACCCTGGAGGCGGAGGTTGCAGTGAGCCAAGATCGCGCCACTGCTCTCCAGCCTAGGCAACAGAGCAAGACTCCGTCACAAAAAAATAGATTAAATAAATAAATAAATAGTCCCTTCTTATCCTTTCTCTTTGCAGGTATTTTTGTTATCCAAAGATTCTGAATAAATCTCTCTTATTTCTACTTGTTTCATTGACTTCCCCTTTTATTGAGTAACAACACCTGATTTTTAAAATGGTTTGTTGTAAAATGCATCATACAAACAGAAGGATGGATAAAATTTTAAAAGTAATGGCAAATTAAAAGTAATGGCAAAAGCCACAATTACTTTTGCACCAACCTAATATTATAATAATAAGGTAAATAATCATCCACCCAGTTTAAGATATAAAACATAACCAGTCCTTTAGAAACCTCTGCTTATCCCTCCCCAACTGTGGTCTCTTCTCCACCCACAGTGATAACCACGATGATGACTTAATGTTAATCATTCTCCTATTTCCTTTACAGTTTTCCACCAATATATACATCCCTAAACAGCATGACTCAGTTTTGAAAAACTGAACAGCAAGCAGCAATCTAGAAGAATAAGGAAAGAGTGATGTTACCACTGTTTGAGGAAGGCTCAGGAGAAGATAAACTGAACAGCCTCTCGGTCATTGTCTGGCTTCAGCTTCCCTAAGCATTTATAAGAGCCTTTTATGGGAAAATCATTGAGTCAGATGGTGAGTAACACTGGGAGTCACTGGGCTCAGCACAGGTGAGACATACGGTAGCACTGGAGAATGGGCTGGGTTTTAGATATTTGACCAGGATATAGTCAGAAGGAGATGGCTGTTCTGTATATTCTGCTCATCACGACTTCCCGTCCACTTCCCAGAAGAGGTCAAGGCAGAACATTTCTAGACAACACCCACAGCAGATCAAGTATCAGAGCATTGGAGGAATGAGCAGGAACTTTATCCGCATGTGGTCAAAATAAGGTGAGTACAGAGGAAAAATCTGGGCCAGACTCTGGGTATGGAGTCCTTGATTTAAAAGTTAGCGTGATGGCAGTGGGGACGGTGGTGATGGAAGCCCTCAGTGTGTCTCTCCTTGGAGTCCTGGTGTCCCGCTTCTTCAGGCTGGACGTGTTTCCTTCTGCACCTAGTTCATAACTGTCATTCTGGACTCTCCCGTCACCCTTACCCTAGAGTCCCTTCACCACTCTCCTGTGTTAGATTCCGTTGTGCCCCATGTGTTCCTTCTTGGCTTGTCCTCTCATTCAAGAAGCACAGCCTCCAGTAGCCCCTTAAGAAAGAATGCATGTGAAGTAAATCTTGCATATCTGAAAATGCCCTTATTTTACACTCATATTTGGTTGATAATTTAGCTGGGTACAGAATTCTAGGCTGGGAATAGTTTTTCTTAAGAATTTTGAAAAGCACTGCTCTGGTGTCTCTTGCCTCTACCATTGTTTATTGAAGCCGGCAAAACCAAAGCTGATTCCCGATCCTTTATATTTGATCTTCATATGTACCCTCTCCCTTGCTCTCTAAGCTTTTACAATCTCTTGGACTCTGTGTTCTGAAATTCCATGATAATGTGTCTCGACAGGTCTTTTTTCATCCATTTCTCTGGGCACTTGAAGAACTCTTTCAATCTGGAAACTCATGTCCTTCATGAGTTTTGAGTAAACTTTTCTGTATGGTTTTATTGATGACTGCCTCTCCTACATGTTCTTTTTCTCTCTTGAACACATATTATTCAGATATTGAACACGCCAGTCTTAATCTCTAATCTTCTTTATCTTTGCTTTCCTATTTTTCATCTCTGTGTCTTCTTGGGCGATTTCCTCAAGTTTATCTTCCAACTCTTCTGTTACATTTTTCAGGTCCACTCTTTGCTTTAATTTTTAAAGGCCCTTTTTTCTTCTCTTAAAATGTATCGACTGGGTGCAGTGGCTCAAGCCTGTAATCCCAGCACTTTGGGAGGCCGAGACGGGCGGATCACAAGGTCAGGACATCAAGACCATCCTGGCTAACACGGTGAAACCCCGTCTCTATTAAAAAATACAAAAAACTAGCCGGGTGTGGTGGCGGGTGCCTGTAGTCCCAGCTACTCGGGAGGCTGAGGCAGGAGAATGGCCTGAACCCGGGAGGCGGAGCTTGCAGTGAGCTGAGATCCGGCCACTGCACTCCAGCCTAGGTGACAGAGCGAGACTCCATCTCAAAAAAAAAAAAAAAAAAAAAAGTATCATGATCTTATTCTGCTCTTATAACACGGGTATAATCTATTCTATACCTTTCCAAGTATATGAATAGTAGACTTTTAAAGTTTTTATATCCTTGTTTATTCTATGGGGTTGTTTTGTTTTTCTTTACTTTTGTTTTGGGCTTTATAGTCAAGGTCTGAAGCAGCATCTGATTCTTCTTTGAAGAACTGCTACCTCCCATATTCTCAATCCATGTGAGTGAATTGCATCATTTGCTAATTCTTTCAACTTAAATAAGAAACTTGTGATCCCCCTACACTTCAGCTCTGAAAAACTCTCCTACTCTGTTTCAGGGGAGGTAAATTCATATTTTAGTTCTGGCCTCTCTTCCATTGCAATAGCTTTGAATAAAGACTTCCTTGCCTACTTGATTTTATCCTGTGCAATTTTTGCGTTGACATCTCTATGCAAAAAAAAGAAAGAAAGAAACTTGCTTTAGTTTGGATGTTTGTCCCCTTCAAATCCCATGTTGAAATTTGATACCTAATGTTGAAGGTGGGGCCCAATGGGAGGTATTCGGGTTATGGGGGTGGGTCCCTCATCAGCAAATTAGTGTCTTCCCTCAAGGGTAAGTTCTTCTTCTATTCATTACCAGGAGAACTGATTGTTAAAAAGAGCCTGGCATCGCCTCCACACCTTGCTTCCTCTCTCGCCATGTGATCTCCGCACATGCTGGCTTCCCTTCACCTTCCACCATTAGTAGAAGCAGCCTGAGGCTCTCACCTGATGCAGATGCCAGTGCCATGCTTCTTGTAAAGCCTACAGAACCATGAGCCAAATCGGCCTCTTTTCTTTAGAAATTACCCAGCCTCAGGTATGCCTTTATAGCAACACTAAATGGACTAAGCCAATAATTAACCTGCCTGACCTTCAGTTTCTTCATCCATACAATGAGGGTGGATATGGCATCTGTTTCAGTAGGACTGCCAAGAGAATTTAGTGAAATAATACAGAGGACACAGATTATGTGTTCTTTTCTGGCTTAGGAAGGTTAAATTGCTTAAAGTTACACATCAAATCCTGGGACTTAGACTCATAATCTGACACATAGTCAATACCAATCAATTTCAGCTATCATTATTATGACATAGTTCAAATGGGACTCACACCTCCTCTCAGTTAAAGAGAGGAGTACATGAGCCAGACCTGGCCAATGAGATTCAGCCCTAGGATTTTTGCTAGAATGATTTGAAAGGAAATTCTCTTGTCCTGTTAGATTATTAAATTGGTAAAGCATAATCCCAGAGCTGCCGGTAGCTCTCTTTAACTATGCTTTTAGAGAGTCTATCTGAAAGTAAAGCCAAACCAAGAGATGGAAACAGATTACTGAGGATGAGGCTGGATGCAGTCTTACCTGAAGACATTTTGACACTGGACTTTCCAGTATTATGAATCAATATCTTCCTTTTCTTTCTCTTAAGCCATTTTTAGTTGAGTTTTCATTACTTGCAATAGAAAGAATCCCTTGTAATACAAAAAAAACACTGTTTTGAAACTATGTATTTCACTGACTATAACATTATCATATATTCATGTTATTAAAACTATTCTTCAACATTATTTTGTGTCTGGTATTTTATTTTATGAAGTCCATATTAGTAGACAGATACATTGTTATTAATTTTCAATATTATAAATAACACTGAAATGAATATCCTCATAGCCAAATTTTTGTGAATATCATGATTGCTTCCTGAAAATAAATTCCTAGAGGTGGAACTTCTGGGTTAAAAGTTGCATGAAATATTAAGAGTTTTGTTATATATAGTAAAACTGACCCCTTGAAAGGTGATACCAATTTTTGGTTTCACACCAGAAACATATAAGAATGCCTATTTTCTCCATCCATTGCCTATAGTTGGTAGTATTTCTCTTAAAATCTCCACCAAGTTAGTAACCTATGCACAAAAATGGTACCTCACTTTACTTCATATTTATTTATTGAGTTATCTACCGTGCATAGATTTTTCATTAATTTGTGCTAGATTCAATTTGTTACTATTTTATTTAGGAATCCTGCATCTATATTCTGAAATTGGTTCTTCTGGTACTCTAAGTGCTCAGGCTTTTTTCTGGTTTTATACAATAAATTTTAAACATAGAGGTTTGAAGATGGAAAACCTGGGTTCGAGTCTGAATTCCACAATACGATGCGGAACCTTGGGCGATTTAATTTTCCTAACCCTGAAGAAGAGTAACGCAGTGGAAAGTGAGCCATTAAACCCCCGCAGAACCTGGAAAGGCTCAGCCCTGGGAGGTTCAGGGTGGAAAGGTGAGCCCCAGAGCCAAAATCAAGGGGGTGCTTAACAGCGTGTCACAGAGGATCAACCGCCAAATCCCCTCCTACCCCACACATGCAGGTGAAAAAACTGTTGTGTATACTGACTGTGGTCGTGGTTACATGAATCTATACATGTGTTAAAATGTGTAGAACTGTATACCAAAAAGCTAATTTTACTATATGATAATTTTTAAAAATTTTTTAACAGGCATAAAAAAAAAAGAATACCAAAGGAAGGCTAGGGAGGTGTTAGATTTTAATAGAGACAAGAGACATGTCAATCAAATACAATACATGACCCTGGATTTGAACCTGGATTCAAGGCACCTGATTTTATTTATTTATTTATTTATTTATTTATTTATTTACTGATATAGAGTTGCTCTGTCACCCAGGATGGAGTGCAATGGTGCACTCTCTGTACACTGCAACCTCTGCCTCCCAGGTTCAAGCAATTCTCCTGCCTCAGCCTCCCGAGTATCTGGGACTACAGGTGCACGCCACCACGTCCGGCTAATTTTTGTATTTTTAGTAGAGATGGGGTTTCACCATGCTGATCAGGCTGGATGCGAACTCCTGGCTCTCAAGTGATCTGCCCGCCTGAGCCTCCCAAAGGGCTGGGATCACAGGCGTGAGCCACCACACTTGGCCCAAAGTAACTAATTTTAAAAAGACATTTTTAAACACTAGTGAAAATATAAATGCATACTATTAAATGATATCATGGTATTATATATTATGATACGATAAATGATATGGTAGTTATGTATGAAGTCTATGTATTTTTAAAGTCCTTATCAATTAAAGACACATACTAAAATATTCAAAGGTGAAATGACATGATGTCTGGGATTTGCTTAAAAATATTTCAGAATATATATATATATATATATATATATAGTAAATACATGGAGTATAACAGAATAAGAGTGAGATTTTTTTCTCTTTATTCACTGCTGTGTCTTCAGTTTCTACAAGTTTGGGGGTATGTGGTAGACACTTAACAAATATTAGTTGAATGAATTAGTTGAATGAATTCATCTTATTGCCTGTCTCACAAACTGTGACTGTACATACCTTTACTGATATCTCTATCTCTTAGCTCAACTATCACTCCTGACTTCTCCCATGTACAGTACTGCAAATGCTCATTGATGAATCCATGTCTAAAATCCTGCTCAGATAAAAGGAAAAGGCTTCGCTGGTAAAGTTCAATAAGCAGAGTCATCACAAGTTTTCCATTTTCTTTCATAGTTTTCACTGTACATATGAGCCCATGATAATCTGGCCCCTGATCAACTTTGCAATTACACACTCCCACTGTCCCCTTCCGTGAAACCTACATCCAAGTCCCACAAAAAACTTACTGTCCGTCACAAGCACCTTGATATATTAAATTTCTGTGCCTTTGTACCTGGAGTTCCCTCTGCTTAGGATGCTCTTTTCTCTTTATACATCTAGTAGTGAGTTCTGTTCATTCTTCAAAATTCAGTCCAGGAGTGAAATCAGTAACAGGGCAGAACAGGATGTTCCAGCTCTCATCCCCCCATAGAAACACCAGTTAAGGCAGGCAGTGACAGATAAGAATCATTATGTGGGAGGCCTGGAGTCTGGCTGAGGTTCCAGCACCCCACTGGAGCAAATCAACCCAAGAGTGGAAGCATCGAAAAGGGTAAGAAGTGCAGTTCCACTTTACCTGCATCAGCTCTCCGCCAAGGAGGCACAGCTTGTGCTGAGAGAAGCTCCTTTGGCCTTCAATCGCTCCACAGGGGAAGGTAAAAGTATAGTGAACACCTGGCTTACCTAGACTTGAAGAACATTGCCCAGGAGGCTCACTTCTGTCTCCCTGCCCAGAATGCAGATGATCAGCATGACTGATCATCTAGGAACAGGGAGAAGGGAATGGAGTGCACAGCAACCAGCATATGGTTTCAACAACCAACCACAGATTCTGCCAACTAGCTCACAGACTCCAGCAGGAGACCTGCCCACAAATCCCACCAGATGACTCACCCGAGTATCCTCCACCCAATGAGTCTACACAACCTGCATGCCCCACCCCACCATGTATGGGGTCCAACACACCACTGTGCATGACCCACATTAACTGCTGCTGAGAGAACATGAACATTAACAACAGGCATGGATCTTAGCAGCTGGCTCAACTATGCTGGACTTGTGGGAAAACATCAGGCAAACTAATATACATATCGTAGAAATCCCAAAAGGACCAGAGAAAGAGAAATGGAAGGAAAGTTTATTTTAAAATATAATGACAGAAAACTTTCCAAATCTGTAAAGAAAAAAAAAAAAAAAACCCAGATCCATTAAGCCCAAAGAACTCCATATACATTGAAAATAAAGAGGTCTTCACCAAGATGCATTATAATCAAATAGTCAAAAATCAAAGACAAAGAGATAACTTTTTTCCTTTTGTTTTATTTATTTTTTATCTCCTCAAATTCCTTTTACCAGAGAATTTTTAAAGCAGCAAAAGAAAAACAACTCAACACATACAAAGAAATCTCCATAAGACTATTAGTGGGTGGGTTTCTCACCAAAAACCCTGCAGACCAAGATAGAGTGGAATGATATACTCAAAGTGTTGAAAGAAAAAAAACTGCCAACCAAAAACATACCCAGCAAAGCCATCCTTCAAAAAGGAAAGAAAGACAAAGACCTTCCCAGACAAACCAAAACTGAGGAAGTTCATCACCCCAGACTTGCCTTACAAGAAATATGAAAGGGAGACCTTCAAGTTCAAATGAAAGGAACATGTATCAGCAACATGAAAACATATACTCACTGATAAAGGTAAGTATAGTCAAACTCACAATTCTCTAATACCATGATGATGGTATATAGTTGGATACACAGTATAAAAAGCCGTAAATTGTGATATAAATAATAAAAATGTGAGGGGAGAAGTAAAAGTGTATAGTCTTTGTATGTAATAAAAATTAAATTGTTATCAGTTTAAAATAGACTATTATAACTATAAGATGTTTTATGTAAGCCTCATGGTAATCACAAAATAAAAAATCCAATAGTAGATATGCAAAAGATAAAAAAAAAAAAAAGAATCAAAGCATACCACCACAAACAATAATAATAAAGCCACAAAGGAAGACAACAAGAGAGGAAGAAAGGAACTACAATTAACAAAATAGCAATAGTAAGTCCTTACCTATCAATTATTACTTTAATGTATATAGACTAAATTCTCTCATCAAGAGGCATAGAGTGGATAAATGGAATTTATTTATTTATTTATCTATTTATTTTTTTTGAGATGGAGTCTTGCTCTCTCACCCAGGCTAGAGTGCAGTGACCTGATCTTGGCTCACTGCAACCTCTGCCTCCGGGGTTCATGCCATTCTCCCGCCTCAGCCTCCTGAGTAGCTGGGATTACATGCACCCACCACCATGTCCAGCTAATTTTTGTATTTTTAGTAGAGATGGGGTTTCACCATCTTGGCCAGGCTGGTCTTGAACTCCTGACCTTATGATCCACCTGCCTCGGCCTCCCAAAGTGCTGGGATTACAGGTGCGAGCCACCGCACCTGGCCGATAAATGGATTTTCAAAAATAAGACCCAACTATATGCTGTCTACAAGAGACTCACTTTTGATCTAAGGACACAAATAGCCCAAAAGTGAATGGATGAAAAACATATCCCATAAAAATGATAACCAAAAGAGAGCAAAGGTGGCTATACTTACATGAGACAAAATAGACTTCAAGTCAAAAACTGTCATAAGAGACAAAGAAGGTCATTATATATACTAACAAAAGGGTCAATTCATCAGGAAGACATAAAACAGCAATACATAGTAGAAGAAATCAATACCCCCACTCAACAATGGATGGATCATCCAGACAGAAAATAAATAAGGAAACAGTGGAATTAAACACTAGATACCAAATAGATCCAATGAACATATATGTGACATTCTATCCAACAGAAGCAAAATACACATTCTTCTTAAGTCCACATGGAACATTCTCCAGGATAGATCACATGTTAAATAACAAAATAAGTCTTAACGAATTTACGAAGATTGAAATCATATGAAATACCTTTTCCAATCACAATGAAATGAAACTAGAAATAATAGGAGGAAAATTGGAAAACTCACAAATATGCAGAAATTAAGCAACACACTCCTGAAAAACCAATGGGTCAAAGAAGAAATTTAAAGAAAAGACAAAAATATCTTGTGACAAACAAAACCAAAAAAAAAAAAAAAAACACCAAAATGGGATGTATGGGATGCAACAAAAGCAGTTATTGCAGGGAAGTTCACAGCAACAAGTGATTACATTAATAAAAGAAAAGATCTCACATAAACAACCTAAAGTTACACCCCAAAGAAATATAAAAATAAGAGCAAAGCCCAAAGTTAGCAAAAGGAATAATAAAATTTAGACCAGAAATAAATTGAGACTAGAAAAACAATAAAAAGAAATCAATGAAACAAAGAGTTGGGTTTTTGAAAAACACAAAATTGACAAACCTTTAACTAAACTAAGAAAGAGATGAGATGTAAATAAAATTATAACTGAAGGATGAGTCATTCCAACTGATATGATGAAAATACAAAGGATCATAAGAGGTTACTGTGACCAATTACACACCAACAAATTGGGTAGCATGAAAAAATGGATAAATTCAGCCGGGCGTGGTGGCTTACGCCTGTAATCCCAGCACTTTGGGAGGCCAAGGTGGGCAGATCACGAGGTCAGGAGATCAAGACCATCCTGGCTAACACGGTAAAACTCCGTCTCTACTAAAAATACAAAAACAAAAATTAGCCAGGCACGGTGGCAGGTGCCTGTAGTCCCAGCTACTCGGGAGGCTGAGGCGGGAGAATGGCGTGAACCCAGGAGGCGTAGCTTGCGGTGAGCTGAGATTGCACCACTGCACTCCAGCCTGGGTGACAGAGCAAGACTTCATCTCAAAAAAAAAAAAAAAGAGGATAAATTCTCAGAACTTATAATCTACAAAAACTAAGTCAGGAGAAATACAAAATCTAAACAGAGTACTAACAAAGACTAGATGGCTTCACTGGTGAATTCTACAAACCTTTAAAGAAGAATTAATGCCAATCCTTCTCAATTTTTTCCAAAAATTAAAGAGGAGGGAACACTTCTAAACTCTTTCTACAAGACCAGCATTACCCTGATCCCAAAGCCAGATAAGAACACTACAAGAGCTGACGTCTGCGCAATAAGGTTGCCGGGCGCACAGTGGCGGCCGCCTGAAGCTACTGAGTCGCGGCGCCGCGCACTTGCGGTTGGGTCAGTGCCGCGCGCCGCTGGTGGCCTTCAGGCTGGTCGGTGCGGGTCCGCCCCGGTTCGCCGGCTCCTAGGTCTTTGAACAGCCGCGATGTCGATCTTCACCCCCACCAACCAGATCCGCCTAACCAATGTGGCCGTGGTACGAATGAAGCGCGCCGGGAAGCGCTTCGAAATCGCCTGCTACAAAAACAAGGTCGTCGGCTGGCGGAGCGGCGTGGAAAAAGACCTTGACGAAGTTCTGCAGACCCACTCAGTGTTTGTAAATGTTTCTAAAGGTCAGGTTGCCAAGAAGGAAGATCTCATCAGTGCGTTTGGAACAGATGACCAAACTGAAATCTGTAAGCAGATTTTGACTAAAGGAGAAGTTCAAGTATCAGATAAAGAAAGACACACACAACTGGAGCAGATGTTTAGGGACATTGCAACCATTGTGGCAGACAAATGTGTGAATCCTGAAACAAAGAGACCGTACACCGTGATCCTTATTGAGAGAGCCATGAAGGACATCCACTATTCAGTGAAAACCAACAAAAGTACAAAACAGCAGGCTTTGGAAGTGATAAAGCAGCTAAAAGAGAAAATGAAGATAGAACGTGCTCACATGAGGCTTCGCTTCATCCTGCCAGTGAATGAAGGCAAGAAGCTGAAAGAAAAGCTCAAGCCACTGATCAAGGTCATAGAAAGTGAAGATTATGGCCAACAGTTAGAAATCGTATGTCTGATTGACCCGGGCTGCTTCCGAGAAATTGATGAGCTAATAAAAAAGGAAACCAAAGGCAAAGGTTCTTTGGAAGCACTCAATTTGAAAGATGTGGAAGAAGGAGATGAGAAATTTGAATGACACCCATCAATCTCTTCACCTCTAAAAACACTAAAGGGTTTTTGTTTCCGACAGCACTGTTTCATGTCTGTGATCTGCCAAATACTTGCTCAAACTATTTGACATTTTCTATCTTTGTGTTAAGAGTGGACAAGGCAAGGCTTTCCTACATAAGTATAATAATGTGGAAAGGATTAGGTTTTAATTATAAACTGGAGTCTAAATCCTAAAGCAAAATTGAAACTCCAAGATGCAAAGTCCAGAGTGGCATTTTGCTACTCTGTTTCATGCCTTGACAACTTTCCAAAATGAAAGTTATTTGAGGCAACTCTTGTGAGTGAAAAGTTATTTGTACAGTAGAGTAAGATTATTAGGGATATGTCTATACAACAAAAGGGGGAGTCTTTCCTAAAAAAGAAAACATATGATGCTTCATTTCTACTTAATGGAACTTACGTTATGAGGGTCATTATGCTTGGATGATGTTCCTGATTATCTGAGAAACAGATCTAGAAAAACTGTGCCGGACTTAAATAATTTTCATTGAACATGCTGCCATAACTTAGATTATTCTCTAAAAAATAAAATCACTATCAATCTTAAAAAAAAATATAAAAAAAAAAAAAAAAAAATAAAAAAAAAAAAAAAAAAAAAAAAAAGAACACTACAAAAAAAGAAAAATACAAGACAATATCCCCGATAAACACAAATGCAAAAATCCTCAATAAAATACTAGCAAACAAAATTCAACAACACATTAAAAGAATAATACACTATGATCAAGTTAGATTTATTCCTGGAATGTGAAAATGGTTCAAAATACACAAATCAATAAATGTGATTCATTACATTAACAGAATGAAGGGTAAAAATGATCATCTTAATAGATGCAGAAAAGTATCTGACAAAACTTAAAATCTTTTCATGATAAAATCTCTCAACAAATTAGGTACTGAACAATGTAACACAACATAATAAGGCCATACATGACAAGCCCACAGCTAGCATCATACTCAACAGTGAAAGTCAAAAGTTTGCCTCTAAGACCGGGAACAAGACAAGGATATCCATTCTCACCACTTCTATTCAACATAGTACTAGAAGTCCTAGCCAGAGCAATTAGGCAAGAAAAAGAACGAAATGGCATCCAAATAGAAAAGGAAGAAGTTAAATGGTCTCATTTGCTAACATGATCTTATATGTAGAAAACCCTAAAGATTCCACCAAAGAAACTGCTAAAACTAATAAATGAATTCAGTAAAGTTGCAGGATACAAAAATCAACCTACAAATATCAGTAGCATTTCTATACCCTGACAATGAACTATCCAAAAGAGAAATTAAGATAACAATCCCATCTGCAATAATATCAAGAAGAATCAAATACTTAGGAATAAATTTAAATAAGGAGGTGAAAGACGTGTACACTGAAAACTATAAAACATTAATGAAATACATTGGAAAGTCACAAATAATTGGAAAGATATCTGCAGGACAGTTTTTGGGGGGAGGGAGTCTTGCACTGACTTAGTTCTTCCCCGTTTATTGCTTGTAGTTCCTGAGAATAACTATAAAATGTGCTGGGAATTTGCCATCGTGAGATAAGGAGTTGGCCAGAATAGCCCAGGCTCTATTCCAGTCCACCCTAGAAATAAGATGCCCTTCAATGATTTAGCCCAGTATGTCATATATCCCAGGGTATTAAAAAAAAGCCAGCCAGGTGCGGTGGCTCACACCTGTAATCCCAGCACTTTGGGAGGCCAGGAGTTCGAGACCAGCCTGGGCAACAGGGCAAAACCCCATCTTTACTAAAAATACAAAAATTAACCAGGCCTGATGGCACACTCCTGTAGTCCCAGCTATACAGGAGGCTGAGGCAGGAGAATCTCTTGAACCCAGGATGCCGAGGTTGCCGTGAGCCAAGATCGTGCCACTGCACTCCAGTCTGGGCAACACAGTGAGACCCTGTCTCAAAAAAAAAAAAAAAAAGCCAGGCCGGGCGCGGTGGCTCAAGCCTGTAATCCCAGCACTTTGGGAGGCCGAGACGGGCGGATCACGAGGTCAGGAGATCGAGACCATCCTGGCTGACACGGTGAAACCCCGTCTCTACTAAAAAATACAAAAAACTAGCCGGGCAAGGTGGCGGGCGCCTGTAGTCCCAGCTACTCGGGAGGCTGAGGCAGGAGAATGGCATGAACCCGGGAGGCGGAGCTTGCAGTGAGCTGAGATCCGGCCACTGCACTCCAGCCTGGGCGGTAGAGTGAGACTCCGTCTCAAAAAAAAAAAAAAAAAAAAGCCAGGGTAGGCTGCTTTTCTTGAGAAGGTCCCTCAGCTGCAATGCAGGTGGAGCATGCACATGTGACATTCCATCCACCACAAGCAGCTTTCCAGAGACTCGGGGAATGCTTGCAGTGAACACTGGGCTTCTGTTGTCCCTTGCTGCCTATCTGTAGGTAATAAATCCACTATATTTAATTTGTTGCATATGAGTGTGTTCAGTCTTGCTGGACTCAGGGAAGTTAGTAATCAGTGAACAGTAAACCTATTCCACAAAATTCCATGTCCATGAGTAGGAAAAATCAATATTGTTAAAATGTATCTACTACCCAAAGCGATCTAAAGATTCGCTGCAACCCCTTTCAAAATTCCAATGGCATTTTTCACTGAAATAGAAGAAAAAAAAAATCCTAAAACTTGTATTGAGCTACAAAAGACCTCTAATATCTAAAGAAATTGTGAGCAAAAACAAAAGAGCTGAACACAAACATTAAAAAAGGAAACTAGACCTCATTTATACCATACACAAAAGTCAACTCAAAATAGATTAAAGACTTAAATGTAAGACCTGAAATCATAAAAATGTTAGAAGAAAACATACAGGAAAGCTCTATGACATTGGTTTTGACAATAATTTGAGGGGTCCATCAAAATCCATATCCATTTTCGGACATGGTACCAAAAGCACAAGCAACAAAAGCAAAAAATAAATAAGATTATATCAAACTAAAAAGTTTCTACACAGCAAAGAAAACAATCAACAAAATGAAAAGGCAACCATAGAATGGGAGAAAACGTTTGCATACCATGTATCTGATAAGGGGTTAATATTCCAAATGTATAAGGAACTCATACAACTCAACAGCAAAAAAAAAAAAAAAAACCTGATTTTAAAGTAGGCAAAATACCTGAACAAACATTTTTCCAAAGGAGACATACAAATGTCCAACAGGTATATAAAAGGGTGCTGAACATCAGTCATCATCAAGGAAATGCAAATCAAAATCACAATGAGACCTAATCTCACACCTGTTAGCATGAGTATTATCAAAAATTCAAAAATAACAAGTGTCGGCTGGGCGCGGTGGCTCACGCCTGTAATCCTAGCACTTTGGGAGACCAAGACGGGCGGATCACGAGGTCAGGAGATCAAGACCATCCTGGCTAATGCGGTGAAACCCCGTTTCTACTAAAAATACCAAAAAAAAAATTAGCCAGGCGTGGTGGCGGGCGCCTGTAGTCCCAGCTACTCGGGAAGCTAAGGCAGGAGAATGACGTGAACCCGGGAGGCAGAGCTTGCAGTGAGCCGAGATCGCGCCACTGCACTCCAGCCTGGGCGATAGAGCAAGACTCCGTTTCAAAAAATAAAATAAAATAAAATAAATAACAAGTGTCGGTGAGGATGTGGAGAAAAGGGAACTTTTATACATTGTTGGTGGAAATATATATCGGTACAACTCATGGAAAATAGTGTGGTGGTTCCTCAAAAAATTAAAAATAGAAATACCATATGATTCAGCAACTCACTTCTGGGTATATATCTGAAGGAAACCAATCAGTATCTCTGGATATGTGCATTCCACGATCACTGCAGCATTCTCTGCAATATTCAAGGTGTGAAAACAAATGTCCATTGATGGATGAATAGACAACAAAATTGTGGCATATATATATATACACACATATATATATGATGGGATATTATTCAGCATTTTTTAAAAGGAAATGATTCCATTTGTGACCATCGTATAGACCTAGAGGGCACTATTTTAAGTTAAATAAGGCAAGCACCATCTAAAATGGTCAAATTCAGACCGGGCACAGTGGCTCACGCCTGCAATCCCAGCACTTTGGGAGGACGAGGCGGGCAGATTACCTGAGGTCAGGAGATCGAGACCAGCCTGGCCAACATGGTGAAACCCTGTCTCTACTAAAAACACAAAGATTGGCTGGGCATGGTGGCGGGTGCCTGTAATCCCAGCTACTCGGGAAGCTGAGGCAGGAGAATCGCTTGAACCCGGGAGGCAGAGGTTGCAGTGAGCCAAGATTGTGCCATTGCACTCCAGCCTGGGCAACAGAGTGAGACTGTGTCTCAATAAAAAAACAAGGGATGCAGGGAGGGGAAAATGAGGAGGTGGTAATTACAGGGTACAAAACTTCAATTATGCAAGATAAATAAGTTCTGGAAATCTACTATGCGGCATACTTCCGGTAGCTAACAATGCTATATTTTGTACTTAAAATTGCTAAAAGAGTAGATTTTATGTTAAATGTTCTTGCCAAAAAAAAAAAAAAAGCATCACACATCATCATCATCATCATCATTATCACAGACGGGGACAGGAGGAAACTTTGGGAGATGACGATGGGTTTGTCGTGTTGGTTTCCCAGGAATATATTTATCGGCAAATTCATTGATACGTGATCATTAAATAGGAATAGCTTTTCATATCAATCATATCTCAATAAAAGTGGTTTTAGGCCGGGCGCGGTGGCTCAAGCCTGTAATCCCAGCACTTTGGGAGGCCGAGACGGGCGGATCACAAGGTCAGGAGATCGAGACCATCCTGGCTAACATGGTGAAACCCCGTCTCTACTAAAAATACAAAAAACTAGCCGGGCGAGGTGGCGGGCGCCTGTAGTCCCAGCTACTCGGGAGGCTGAGGCAGGAGAATGGCATGAACCCGGGAGGCGGAGCTTGCAGTGAGCTGAGATCCGGCCACTGCACTCCAGCCTGGGTGACAGAGCGAGACTCCGTCTCAAAAAAAATAAATAAATAAAATAAAAGTGGTTTTAAACTTTTTTT